TGCCCCATCACCTGACTTACTGGTTTGGATGCTTTGGCTGTGGTTATTTGGTGTTTTGTTATGTGTATGTAGTGAGTGCAAGCGGGGTTCAACGTCCCCTGGTTTTTGTATCTCTTTCCCTATTTGTGTTGGGTATCGTTGGGGCCCTGATTCACACCTTTTTCTCACAGGGGGCTGAGTCATATTTGCAATAAAGTATTGTAGGAGGAGGACAACTGGACATGAAGGCTCCACCTCTGTTTAATGGACGGTTTTTCTTCACAAAAATGGCTTCCTTTACTCCTCTCTCAAACCAAAGTTCCTCTCTATCAAGAATGAGAACATCTTCATCCCTGAAAGAGTGACYGCTGGCCTGTAGATGAATGTAAACTGCAGAGTCCTGACCTGATGATGTAGCTCGTCTGTGCTGGCTCATTCTTTTGAACAGTGGCTGTTTTGTTTCCCCAATGTATAACTGATCCCTCTGCATGCAATTTCCCTCTGGGGTCGACCAAATTTATTTTTGAATTGAATTGAATTGAATCACAGTCCTCCTGACACTTAACAGCATATACTATATTACTCTGTTTTTGCTGGGGAACTGGATCTTTGGGGTGAACTAATCTTTGTCATAATGTGTTTTGGGGTTTGAAAGCCACTGGGACATCATGTTTAGAGAATAAACGTCTCAGTTTCTCTGAAACTCCCGCCACATATGGAATGACGACTGGTTTGGGTCTGGGTTTAGGGTCATCATTTTCATCTGGTTGTTGGCTGGAATCCTGTTTGGGTTTCTTGTCTGCTTTCAGAAAAGCCCAGTCAGGATAACCACACTCCTCCAGGGCCTGTCTTGTGTGTGACTTCTCTTTTTCCCTGGCTCCTGTGTTTGTAGGGACACTGTTTGCTCTGTGGTACAGAGTTCTGATGACTCCTAACTTGTGTTCCAGTAGGTGATGGAAATCAAAACGCAAATGCTGGTCTGTATGGGTGGGTTTGTGATACGTCGGTTTCCAACCAMCCTCCATCCGAAAATAATGCTATTCATAACAACAACAATAATAATAACAATAATAATAATAATAACAATAATAATAATAAAATAAATACAAAAGTGCATTGAAGTAAAGGGCATAAATAGAAAATGTGAAGCATTGATTTAATTCTCTGAACATGGACTTGTTTCAAAACAGTAAAGAGGTTATTCTGTCAAAATTAAACACAGAAATGGCTCCCAGGCAAATTTCCCTCCAGTTAAACCAGAGACGTTTTGACAATAAAAAAAATGAAGTTACCTTGTTCAGCTTTTAATTTACAACCTGATTTACTTGAACATAGAACAAAGCTCATATTGAACTTTATAGACAATAACAGGACATGACTGCAGCTCAACTTAAAAGAACTGAGAAACCAGAGCTGCTTTGATCCTCTCTGGTCTCTGAGCCCTGTAGGCTCTCAGTCAACACCAAGTGGGACTGAGACCTTTGGACTTGTCCTTTTTTTATCCACCCAGTGCCTCTCCACTTACATTTCCTGGTCAAGCTTCTGTACAGGAAGCTCATCAGGAAAAAAATGTTCTTAAAAAAATTATGTGTACATATTTCTGTAATGAAACATTTTTCATCATAATAATCAAGCAGGAATTTCAGATATTAATCAAATCTGTAAAAAAAAAAARAGAGAATCAAATAACTTGATTCATGTGGCTATGAATCTGAAATCAAGCAAGGATGTCTTGCTTAAGGTTGGGGCTGCATCTATGCCATTTTGTCTGTCAAGAAATTACTGCAAACTTCCTTTTTCATGTGTGCATGCAATGATTCACATCCTTTAGCATGCTAAACCACACCACTGCAGAGAAAAGCTCAACTCACCCTCTTAATGTTAACCCAAAAAAAAGGTAGTGTGCACAACTCCAATACAAAAAAGAAGAAAGAGTAAAGGGTGCCCGGTTCTGAGGAATCACAAAAATGGGATAACCAGCACTCCAAAAAAATAGAAATATGTTTTAATAAGGGCAGAAAACATGACCTGTTTCGGCTACATGCCATCGTCAGCTTGTACAAGCCGAAAGCATGTTCTGTTTTCTGCCCTTATTAAATTTTTTGGAGTGCTGGTTATCCCATTTTTGCAACTCAAAAAGCTAAACCAAGGCAACTCATTTGAAAAAAAAAATGCCATAAAATCTAAAGACTCAGCACATTACTGTAACAGTAAATACAGTCTTGATGGAAATACAGAAGAAAAACGAACCAAAAGCTTTGAGGAGGAAGTGTTGCAGCAGAGGCTCAGATTTGATGCAACATGGAGGAAGTTAACAGAATTAGAAGAGGAGGTGAAGACAAAAACTGAGATGTACGAAAAGGCTTTGGTGTCGTGGGCATCTGCGATGAGGATCAGAAATGAGTCAAGCGACAGAAATGTGAGCGCGATGAAGACGCAATAAACGCATCGATCCCAGGAAAGATGCGGTGAAAATGGGAACGGGAAAGTGAAGGCGCCAGCTGAAGACATCCAGTTTGCTTTATCGCTCACTCCTCTCAAGAGGTAACGAAGACAAGAAGAGGATGAGGAAGACCATGCTCTGGCTGACAGGAAACACTCCTTTGCTGTGCTCAGAGGGGGCAGGCATGGATTACTATCATACCTGCATGCATTCCTCTCTGAGATAAGACRGGTCACCATCACAAGTGTCGAAAGGCAACCTAAAGAATGATGCACTTTGATGGGAAAGGATGACTAAAATTCATTACATTTGTAAAACTACAGATAATACAAACCGGTTAAAACAAAATCTACTACGAGAACCTTTTATTTATGCCATTTGTTCTGACCTTTGCACTCTTTACTAAGAACTGCAGAGATCCTTATTTTGTTTTAAATTTTTCCTCCCTAAACCTGTCAGCTCATAGCAAAGAGAGAGAGAGAGAGAGAGGAAAAAAAAGCTAAATGAGACATCCGGTCCTGCAAGCTTGCACATTTTCAATCTGAGGAGGAAGCTAAAAAGAAAAAAAAAGTTTTGAACAAACATTTATAAACATTCACAAGAACAAAAACAGATTTTTCCGGAACATTTTTCTCACACACAGGAAAGAGAAAAATGGTGATTCACAGGAAGCTCATGCTAGTTGTTTAATCTGAAACAYGTTGCTTTATTCTATTTAGTTAAAAGTCGGATAAAAGCCATTTAGTTTGATCAAATGCTGCATGTGCACCTCACAAAGAGAACCTCAATAATAAAGAAAAAAAAAAAAAAGCAAAATGGAGGCTGGTTTTTAGCTGTGAGCTGACTCAAATTAGAGAAGTTCCAGGAAGTGTTAGGAAATGTTCCTCGTACCACGTTACCCCAAGAACGAATGCATTTTATAACAGGGGACAAATTAAACAACGCAATCGAAATTTAGATAGTTTAGTTAGTTTACCAAATATATATACATATTGTTCAGTTTTATGCATGTTTTTTTTTATTATCGTTCTCTAACACGCCTTCCCGAGCAGGTCTGACCGAGCTCCACACCCGGAAATCCACCACTGACAACCACTTTTACACTTCTCATTCAGGGAGGACAACTTTTTAACTTCCTAATAAATTTAAAGGTTATCCTTTGAACTATTAATGCTTCAACGACATGGTTTTAGTCAAATAAGAAAGCTAATCGCTCACCATGAAAGTTGCTGTTTAGGTAAAGTAGTTCCCTATCGGAAGTTCACGTTAGTCAATTTGGCCAATTTTTCTTTTGCATTTGAAAAGTTTACTTACAGCAGCTCAAACATACATGCGTTAAAAGAAGCAATTTAAAGAACCTCCTTAAGGTTTTATGTTTTATCAGTAAGTCTTACCGTTTCACTTTAGCTTGGCTGGGACAGTGAACGGGTGTGAAGTGAAGCCGAAGCGGATGAAAAAGTAGAACAAGCGAATGCTTATATCCGGTTTAATGACCTTCAAAATAAAAGCAGTATTGAACGAGAATTTTAAACCCCGACAAGAAAAACTTTTAATTTGATGTTTYCCCCCCCTTTTACTTTTTACTGTCAAAAAATTGTCATTGTTTTGGTATTGATCCTGCAAACATAAAATAAATGTAAAAACAAAACAAAAAAATCAAAACCCTTATCTTTTAATTTGACCTCCCCTTTTATTTTCAAACATTTGTCATATTATTTTGGTAATAGTCATGTACGTATATATTTAATATAAAACTACTCGTATATGTTTTGACCTACCTGACATTTTTAAAGTTTGAAGATTTGTCTTTGTAGGCTGAAACTTACAACAAAGACATTTAACAAACTAGATAATAGATCTAGACTTCTGTGAATTAACAACAGGTAGCAAATGTTAAAATATTATTTAATTAATTAATGTGAGATWCATCACAGATTACAATATATAAAAGACATAAAAGCCTAAAGAAAATGTAAACAGAGTATTTATTCTGCAGGGTACAGGTGTACTAGACTTGTGTTGAGTGTTGTTTCGTCTACAAGAATCGGGTCAGACCAGCCATAAACATCACTACTTTAAGTGTAATYTAGTTTGAATATAGCGTTCTTACGACCACCAACACGCAGTAGCTTTATGGTGCCGCGTTTTATATAGGTATTAATGGTTGTACAACGCGGACACTTCCGAGAACATGGAGTGATACGCTTTAATTGTGGAAACCCGACCGGAAGCGGCACTTCAGCAGTTTTTTCAGAAAATATACCGGAAAAAGTGCCGTGAGTCTCGCGGGTAAAAACAGAACCGCCTTTTCAAGACCCAGTGTTGCCAGGTGTACGATAATTATCGTATTTGTACCATAATTTTGCCCTCTGTACGATCAATAATCCCAAAAAACCCATAATGTACGATAATTTGACCGCTCCAATGTGTGACGTAATTGACCCGATACGCTGCTCGCTGACATGAGAGGTGGCGGGTTGTGGAACACAGCGTTGCTGATTTAGCGACTTCCTCGCTATATTTACAGACTTTTCAGACCCTCTAGAGACTGTTATTCAGAAAAGTGACTAGTGAAAATCTAGCGACTGTTTTTCTGGTGTTATTGAGACTTTGAGAGACTCTGCCGTGAACACATTTCTCCATTGTGCTGCTGAGAGCTCCTCCTCCCCGGTCCCAGAGCACCGACAGGAGGCTTCTTCACRCTGCGTCTCTCCCTGCTGCAGGTAGAGACGAGACATCCATCCTATCCAGATATGAAATGAATACTGCTGCTGCGACTGATCCATGATGGGATGTTAATAAAAACATTTCTATGGCTAAAAATAGATCCCTTTGCTGGTCCCTAGCCAACAGAAAGGAGGGTTAGAGCTGTGACAGTAAAATAAAATATATATATTAATCTATATATATTTTAAAAAAAGGAGAAACAGAAGAAACTTTAGTTTTTGTTCTCTTGACAAACTACTGCCTCTAAAGAGAAGGCTGGCTGCCACGATGCAGTCACCAATGTTTTTATTTTATTTTACTTTTTTACCCTATTAAAACTCTGCTGCTTAGGCTACCAGCTGGTCAAAGAATCAAATGTCCAATGTGACACAAAAAGGATGATTCATATATTGAGTTGAATGTAGAATCTGTCTCTGAAATAGTTATGAAAGTGTTTATTTATGTAGTTTAAAATATGTTTAACGACATGCAAATACACCAGAATGCAGGAAACAGCAACTACTTCATTCAAACTTTTCTGGGGGAGAACACCCCCTCCCACGTTGGGGTTCTGATGGAAACTAGTAGCAGCAAAGATAAATATAAATAGTACTTATGTGAAAGACACAATAACTGTAAAATCAAAAAGAAAACATGTGACTGAGAAGGTGAGGGGTATAAGCAACATTTACATTTAATAAACATCCAGAAGCTATTTAAAATATAAAAAAAAATTAAAAAAAATTGGAGGCTTACTGATTACATTTGCTCAGTATGCTCAGTTTATTTGTTGACTAATCAAAAGTACAATAAACCACAATGATTTGTTCTTTTCTTGATTTCATTTTAACTTTGCCTATAATTTACATTTTATTCTAGTCATTTTATCTAACATTTCTTTTTATATGCAGCATTTCCCCAGACTCCATGTTTTGTTCTTGTTTACAATAAAGCTTTTGTAAAAATAAAAAAAAACACACCCAACAATGCTTTTAACTTTATTATAAACAAAATAATGTGCAGTTTGTTGAATACAGAGCAAATTGTGAGCTGAGCAGGATGTATTTGTAAATTTGAGCCTCTCTAGAATTTAACTTGGGTGTGTACGATAATTTTGAGCTGCTGATACGATAATTCAACATTTCCCATCTGGCAACACTGTCAAGACCGGAAATTTGATTTCTCTTTGTTTTCCTTAGCTTTGAAGAAACCTGAGGCATTTAGCTGAACAACTGCTTGCAGGAACTAACTTAAAATGTACTCTAGTATTTTGGACGTAGTACTCAACTACGTGACCAGTTAATTCGGACATCAGGGAAAAAAATAATACAGGACATCTAGTGACATTGCTGAGGTAATACCCTTAAAAGCAGCATTATAAAAACTGCACAAGTACTCTAACTAATTTGTGTGTTTATGTTCATATTTATTCATGTCTTTACATATATGCATACATTTATGCATTTCATTTTTTATAGACATACTTGAGATGAAGTTAAAAACCATTCTCAAGTCATCATCAACAACCAGGTAAACATATTGCAACAAATGTTAAAACAATACAGGAGTTTTGGTTAATGAGTACTGCAGGTTTTATTACAAGTATCATTAACTACAGGGCAACTGGGAAACAACCTACAGGCAAAACCATTTTGAAAAAAAAAAAAATACTGGTAAAAAACACTTTGGAGTATTTAAAAGAAGAGGATTGAACGTCAAATCACATCAGAAGACAGACAAATGTAAAATATTCTGCACATCTGTAACAACCACACACTTCTGCGCAGACAAGAAGGGATGACAACTAGTAAGAACTTTATTTTTAGCTGGTGTCCATCTGCAAAAAAAACAAAAAGGAAAATTAGACAGCTGCCATAAAAACGACTGGTTACTTGTCATGTACTGTGCGAACAGAGGAACATACTCTGGCATTGTAGGCGTCTAACTGGGCATCAAGTTCTTCTGCTGACAGCTGTTTTGCACCACCGCCAGTGTTGCCGCCGCGACCGCCTCGTCCCCTTCCCCGAAATGGACCACTTCCTCTCGAACCTCGCATGCCTCTAAAACCACGATTACTGACCGAACCTCTACCCCTGTTCAGCCTGAAGGGAAAAAAATAAAATAAAATAAAAATCACTACCCATGAAATTTCTTGTTGCACTTGTTAAATATACAGAAAATACAAATGTTTGCTTACATGGGTCGCCTCTGTGTGTCAATTTGTGACGTGACGAGCTGTATATTCATGGGCCGCCCTGGAGAGACAGAGAAGAACCTCAACAGGCAGAAAATGCACGGCACAAATTTTTCTCTAGACACAGGACCACTTTTTGAATATAAAAGGGACAAATGCACTATGAATTTGTTTTAAGCATACTCAGGCTGGCTAAATGAGTTAGAATGAGTACAGGCTGCAGGTTTTATTTCTAATACTTTTAATGTTCTTTGAAATAGACCATTTGTCTTTGCAGGGAAATCCCTTAAAATAATGTTTGATGACACCGTGAAGTTTGGAGATKAATAAACCTATTAATATACAATACACCTAAGTTTAGGCTAATGATAACAAATCTTAGAATGGTGGCATTAACATCGGGTAAAGTACAAAATCTGCAACTCTTTTCTAAACATTACCATCCAGTGGGATGCCGTTGTATTGTTTCATGGCCTTAAGAGCATCTGCCTTCCGTTCAAAATGCACATCTGCTGTCCCCAAACTTCTTCCTGATCGGTCGTAATGAACGGCAGCTTTCTTCAGAGTTCCAAATTCAGCAAAAAGTTCCTTTAAGAAGAAACAAAATAAATAAGTTTAAAACAGCAAAACCATCATAACAAAACAAACCTTGAGCTATAATTTAAATACCTGAATGTCTGCRTCGGACACACCGAAGTCCAGATTGGAGACGAGGAGCTTCCCTCCGGTTTCCACACCAGCCCCTCCTCCGCCGCCGCCCCCAGCAGCACCATTGAAGCCGCTGAAGCCGTTGTCAAACATGTCATGCTGCCACTTATCTGGGATCTGTTTAGGCTGCAACAGACGAGAGAGAGCGCACCTGCTGACTTCAGGATCCCCATGCCTCTGTCAATCACAGAGTCCACACGGCTGGGTGTTGGGGCAAGCAGGGGGCTCCATTTCCAATAGTCAGGGTGCTCAGCTCCCTCAAGAGGGTCCCCCACCCCCAACGTTCCCTGCCCACCCCATCACAACAAGCAAGTGAATCGGCTCAGACAGAGGGACACATAAGACAAACTCACAATCAAGGCGACATGGATCTTTACTAACATGCAGCTCAAGTTCTTTTTTTTTCTTTCTTTTTTAAACTGGATATTCAGGGAATTTTTAAAAAGGTACACCCGCAGGTTTATTTTATTTGTATGTGACAAACATTGAAAAGCCCCCCCAAACTGTTTAAATAAAATGGTTCTGAAACCATTGGTTCCCAAAGCTGAAGTCAGGACCATACTGTAGGTCCAGAACGACCAAGATTAGTTTTCAGACACAAGAACTAAAAGGCATTCTTGGCCTTTACTGTAGAGGTAAAAAGCAGCACTCCAGATCAAAAACAATGCAGATTCTGCTGACATTACTCGTTTAACTGGTTCATCTACAATATTTGTTGTTGCAAATCTTTCTCACCACTGTTGTGTGTTTCAGCTTCTTARAAGTTTGGGAACCATTGGTCTAAATCACAGTACACATTTCTTTTTAACAAACAGGTCAAATTATTCTAATTAAGCAAAACAGGAAAAAGTAGGACTGGGCTAATTTGTTATTGACAAGTTGAACTGATCAAAAAAAGCTTAAAAGTGCAAAAAAAATTTCTTACTTGAACCTCAAGCATATTTAACTCCAAGTAGATTTAAGAGACCATGTCTATGAAATAACTACCAAATTAAAAAAAAACAAAACAAGTTGAATTCTTTACTAAGACCCACCCAGAAACTTCAGACCAAACCTGAAAAACTCCCCAGGCTAGCTACCAAAAATTGCCCATTGTTCTCTTGCCATCTGCGCCTCCCTCCAGAAATGCTCCTCGGACACTCAGGGGGCTCCCCGTCTGAAGCAGCGGCACATCCGACGTTGGACCGTGCATCCCAGACCCCAGGAGAGTTCTTTGCCAAACCACGAAACGGGGTTTGGTGAAGTAGGGGGACAAGTCCATATGATGTAGGGGGCGAGGAGGGGGGGTGAAAAGGCCAGATATCCCCTCTGTATGAGCGTGGGTTATGTGAGCGTCCATTTTGAGACCACGCCATTTTGACTGGTCTGAGGCTTTGTTTGACTTCTCTAGCAACTCGCTCACGCTTAAAAAAAAAGGTGAAGAATTGCTTTCACACAACTATCAGAGGGGTTGAAAGTCCACTTTTCCATCCTCAAGTAACAGGCAACATGGTTGATAACACATCAAACAGGCCTGAAGAAACCCGCCARCCACTCCCCGAACAAAGGCCGCCTGGTCGCTGCTCACACGGGGACTTGGACAAAATACTCTGCTCCCATACTCAGTGAAAACACATGAAACTTTCGATGAAGTGGTTGCCTCTCATCATCAATTTGGGCTGAAGATCTCTTACTGACCCTTCCTTCACGGGAACTGACAAAATTATGGTGCTGGATTCAAAATGGCGCTGGCTAATAGCCGCTCTCCAACGAACTCTTCTTGAAATTCGATGAATTTAACACATTTTGGATTGTGGGAGAAGGGACACATATGAATACATTTCACTGCTTACTCCTACATTCTCATACCCTGCTGTAAGGTGTCGGTCTGCTTCTAGCGCGGCTCATGTTCTGTCGATTCCTCATGGGGCCGGATCCGCCGCCTCGGCCTCCAAATCCTCCGCTGCCGCCTCCAAGACGCCCGGCGCCTCCACTACCACGGGCGCCTGGGCCTCCGCGGCCTCGGCCTCTTCCTCCGCGGCCTCCGCCTCTCTGCTGCCTGTTCTGTTTGATAATGTCGTCTAGAGACATATCCATCTTATCGGTCATCGTTCTGCCCCAATAATACTAAACTGTGAACAAAACAAGAAAATTTATGCCCTAGACTTAATCGGTCCCTCTCCCTGTCCTTTCAGCTCAATGCTTTCAGCACCAACAATGGCTAAACAAAAAAAGCAACAGTAGTAGTTCGTGACGCAAACTACCTTACGTAATACGTCATTACGTTGTACGTATAAATAAGACAACAGCGACTTCTGCTGTCAAATATAGGCTTTGCACTATGAAACTGACRTCTACTTCGACCCCATAGATGGATCATTTAGAGGTGAAAAATTAAATCAATAATTAAATTAATAAATATTTTTAAAGTAAATATTCTAAATATTTGGATTTAAACTTTCACATGGTTCTGTACAAAAAAATCAAGTTGGTGTGGGGATAAACCTTTTTAGAGTARGAATGCTTTGACGAATATGAATAGTTTCATGAATTTACAAAATATGTGAATGAAAGCAAAACCTAAATCCATGTAAAATTGTATAAAACCACCAGTCTAACAGCATTTATTTCCCAAACTTACCAAAAACTTGCAGTTTTGTTTTAGCTGTTCCTACAGTCTTCTATTGTGCTGTAAATCACACAACTCTCTAAATACATGCTATTTGCTATTAAAGAATTTACCTTGTGTAACACATTTATTGCTTTATTTCCATTCTTTGACGAGTAAATCAAAAAGTGATGCAGCTTTAGATTGTTATTAACAATGTTCCAAAACCAAAAACATATTGTAAAAGTCTTTTATTCAACATTTTGTGTCAAGGCTTTAAGGATAGGGGTTAACCAAGGGCTGCATCCTTTCATTCTCTAGGCAATAAAGTCCACCAAGGGCAAAAAAATATAACAAAAACAAAACAACAACAAAAAAAAGTAATAAAAATGGTGGCCTGTATTGTATTTTGGCTTCCAAAACTTTCCTAATTGTTTGTGTCCAATGTGACTGCTCAATAACAACTATGACTTAGCAATTTACTTACAAACAAACAAGTCAGCCCTTTTACAATTGTCTCAAAAGTCATTTAAGTAGTACTACTCTTTTGTTTAAGACTTCAGTCTTCTGTGTCCCATTGGGCCTCAGTTTGTGCCTCAGCAACAGATCAATCAGTCCCATTCATACTAAGTATGTAATATGTAGACTTTGATAGCCTCTGAGAACAAAAAATAAAAAAAAAATAAAAAAAGGAGGAGTATTTGTGCCCCTTGAATTTCCAGTTGTTTTTATCCTTCTTAGTTGGAGAGGGTAAAAAAAAGATAGGGGTTGCTATGGTCCATAGTAGAGAAATGAGATTCTGCATTATTTTCCTGGCTGTAACAGAGCAGATAAATGAAAAGTTCTTAAGGATAATGGATGGAGAAAAAAAGTGATGAGTGCATCACAGGAAACACTAAGATTTTTTGGAGTCCTGTGTGTTGCGCTTTTTGAGGTCACTCAGGTCCACTGGTGTGAAAGCTGCGAGCGTTAGAAAGAAAAGAAAAGTTATTTCTGGTCCATACTCAGCTAAACTACAGTAATCCTTACATTCAAAGGAAATGTATTAATTAATGATGTAGAGTAGAACTTACAATGTAGGTTAGGATTCGGGTTCTTCTCCACATACTCCTGTGGTCCACGGTCGTTACGTTCACTATTTTGTGTTGATCTGATATCTCTGAGCACACACTGCCAGGCTGTAACAGAATAAACATCATGTTGGTTACATGTATAAAGCATAGCTCAGGAAATGTTTTACTRCCTCCAACTTAACTGATTCTAACCTGCAGCTATATCTGCTGCTGACCCAGAGACATATCAGAGCAACTAAAACCTGATTTAAACTTCATGAGAAGTGACAATGAGCAAAAACAAACAAACAAACAAACAAACAAACAAACAAACAAACAAACAAACAAACAAACAAACAAGATAAAATCACCATCATAAATTTTCACACAAACCAAACAATTTTATTTTTGTATTTCAAAAAAAGGACAACCTTTAGACATAACATCTGCAGAGGTTTTGACTGGAGTTGCATTTACGAGCTGTGGATAAGGTTTTCAGTTTGATTAAAAAAATTACAAACTGAAATCGTACAGTAGCTTCTATTTTGTTTTACTGCTTTATTTGAAATCGGTACCAAATCTCAAACCAGGGCCTCGAGTATTGGACAGGGAGTGCCAGCTGAAAAGGAAAACTGGTTCCAGGACATTTTGTTTGTCCTTCAAAGGACATCTACACTCACCGGCCACTTTATTAGGTACACCTGTCCAACTGCTCGTTTACACTTAATTTCTAATCAGCCAATCACATGGCGGCAACTCAGTGCATTTAGGCAT